AAAAAAAAAAAGGAAACCAAACTAAATTCTGTAGAATCTATGGTAATGTTCTCTAATTCTTGATAGTGTAATTTTTAAAAATGTATAATTGATATTGTATAATAGGAAGAAAAGGTCTAAAGGAGTAGGGGAAGTGAGAGGGGTAGGGGAAAGGAAAGAAGGGCAAAGAAAAAATATGAGAAAAGGAAAAAGTGGAAACAAAGTCTTTGTAAATAGGGAAGGGTGGAGGGGGTGAAGGGAAGGCAGGGGAATGGGGAAAAAATAAGAATCAAGATATGTCATGTAAAGGTACAAGATCCCAATGATGATTGTAACTGTATTTTATGCCTAAAATGTATTAATAAACTTAATTATGCCTAAGCACAAGCAAACTGAACCCCAAGAGGCAAGGATCCTGTCTGGTGCCTGGCACTGGTATCAGAAACCATCAGTGAGAGCTTAAGGAGATACAGCAAAACATAGAAATTCTTACAACCAACTTTTTCATTTTAGAGAATGGATTTGACTGAGACTACACAGCACTGAGCTGAGATTATAACATAGGCCTGCCATCCTTAGCATGTCCTTTCCCCTGTATGATGCTTTTTTTTCTTACTGTATTTAAAAACGAATTAATTTAAAACTGATAGTTTTGCTCCAATACAAAGTCCAAATGCTAAGAAAAACCCTGAAGAATACAACATGAATAGAATAATAACAAATTATCAACTCCACACAAGAACTGTCTGTATCAAGTGAAAGCGTCATAGGGATTCACAGCCTTGTGGCAGATATTTGTTTTATTTTTTTAATTTAAAAATTTTTTTTTGGTATCGGGGATCGAACTCAGGACCTAGCATTTGCAAGGCAGGTGGCAGCACCACTGAGCTAAATCCCTGGCATGGAAGATATTTTTAAATAGCAGCTTTATTGAGATGATTCACATACCATAAATTTTGCACTTCAGGGGTACTCAGTATATTCAAAGTTGTACAACCATCACCACTATAAAATTTCAAAATATTCTCATAGTGACCCAAAAAAACCTTGCACCCAAGAACAGTCAATTTCCATTCAACTGCACCCCCACCTCACAGAAAACACTAAATGTTATGGCTTATACCTATATGTACTCCCAAAGCCTCATGCACTCATTTGATGGGGCTTTTGGGAGTGACTGGATCAATGGTGATACTAGATCAGTCTACTGATTGGTTTAGCGTAGTTCTGGGTGTAGCTGAATGGATTTACTGAAGACAGAAGATTCACCCTACGTGTAAGTAGCACCAAGCAAAAGGCTTGTAGACTGGATGGAGTAAAAGGGAAAGCAGAAAGGCTACTTCCTGCTGCCCTGCCATGGACTGTTTCTCTGATGCCATGCCACCCTGCCTTGGAGCTAGCCAACCAAGGACTGAAACTTCTACAAACTGTGTGCCAAAATAAACCTTAATATTAATAGTTAATTATAACTTTTTTTTAACTTGAGGATCCAGGATGAAGCGGCAACTAAATTAAATCATACTATTTAAGTACAAAAAATAATAATAATACTGATAATACTACCACTTCCAACCCTTGGGCACCTCCTTGAGTTAAGGGTAGTACTTTCCAAAAGGTGTCCCTAGACCAGAGCACCCGTACCATTGGAACCAGTCAGAAAAGTAAACTCCTAGTCTCCACTGAAGATGTGCTAAGCCAGAGACTGTGGGCAGCCTCAGTGGACACCCCTACCCCATCCCCAACCCCCAGTTCCACACTGCTCCAGCTCCTAGGAGGGCCCAAGTCCCTTCTGGCAGACTTACCTCTGATCTTTAGCTTTGCCCCTCATTAGTGATGCCCAGTGTGCAGCCGCCACCCCTTATACCCCACAAGTAAAGACAACAGTGGCACAGGAAAAAACTGAACAATTCAATCATGCAATGTAGGAGGAAAGGCTCAACACTTTCTAATAAGGAGGTGTATTTGTTTATTAAAATTGTTCACAATTAACTATGGACACAGAAAACCCAATTAAATAGGAATATCAAAACACTACCCAAGGCTAGTGATATAATTTCTCTGCCATTTAAAACTCTTCTCTCAGCCAGGCACAGCAGCACATATAATCCCAGGATTTAGGAGGCTAAGGCAGGAGAACTTTGAGTTCATGGCCAGCCTGGATTATACAGTGAGACTCTATCTCAAAAAACAAACACAACTCTCAGAAGCACAAATAGCCAATAAACATATGAAAAAATGTTCAACATCACTGGCCACTGGAAAAATGCAAATTAAAACACTGAGATTCAGGACCAGGGATTTAGCTCAGTGGTTCTGCCGCCTGCCTCGCAAGCACAAGGACCCAAGTTTGATCCCTGGTACAAAAAAAAAAAAAAAATTAAAAAAAAACAGAGATTCCATCTTTAGAAAGAATGGCAAGAAATAAAATAATAACAAATGCTGGTGAGGCTGTGGGGAAAAAGAACCCTTCTACACAACAGATGAATGGACAAAGAAAATGTGGTGCTGTACACAAAGAAATACTATTCTGCTATAAAGATAAAAAGAAAGATAAATTTGAGTTATCTGTAGGAAAATGGATGTACTTTGACAGCATAATGTTAAGTGAAAAAAAACAGACACAATAGCTTAAATATATGGTCTCTCTTTTATGGAACACTCAAAGTATAAATAAAGAGCAAATAAAAGATAATAGGAAATGGGGAGATTTATCATTTGCAAATGGGAATGGAACCAAGAGAGGAAGAAAGGAAGGTAGAGGAAACGAATATAAAAAGATGTCTTATTTGTAGGTCCCAACACCTCACGATGAGTGTAATAATTATGTACTGCAAACATGTACTAATAAAATTTTTAACAAAAACAACTTCTCTATATACATTATTAGCTTATTAGAAATTCAATTATTAGGATAGGTGAAGTCTCTCTACAGCTACATTTTTATTACTTCCTTCAAATATTGGGTAGATTTACTGCTTCTCTGCATCTTCACCAGGAATAAAATAGCCTCAGAAAGGAAAAGCCAGATTAAATCTGTCCTGATCTCCTCTTGCTTTGCAACTGCCCCAGGCTGCACACAAATATGCAGGTGGATGTAGAGTACAAACCACATAGCTGAGAGCAAAACACAAGGAAATGTGAAGCCCAAGCAAAAACCTCCCCAACCACAGCAAGACTGATAGGACTTCATTTGGTCCTTCAACCCCATCCTGCAAGGACTGCACTGGTTTTTACAGCATTTCTCTTGTCTGGGATGTCACAGTATCTCCAAGTGAATTAAAAACCTTCTGGTAAGTGTCCAGAATATCTTGAGCAGTAGGTCTTTCTGCAGGAATCTGGCTCTTACAGGCCTTATGAATATCAAATAAATGGAATCGAACCATATCACTCCCTTCAATGTGCCCCAGAAGGAAATTGGAGACATCTGGGATTTTCCAGATATCTATCTTCTCATCATAAGAGGGCATGAGGTCATCGTGGAAAGGCCTGTGCTCCCCATAGGGCCATAACTGCTCTGGAGCCACAAAATCCCCATGAAGCTCCCTGTGGCCACACTTCACAAACATCCCGGAGCTGTGATTCACCAAGGGCAAGGCATCCAAGTCATTTGCCACAATGCTGAAGTTACTTGTCAGCAGGTACTGTGACAGAGTCTTGGGCAGGTCATTAGAGTCACACATGACGAGTGTGCCCAGGGGGCTGCGATGCAGGTAGTTAATAATGCCAATATAATCCATGGCCAGTTGCAGCCTATGTTGCCATGTGTTCACATTTTGGTACTTGGAAAGATTTAGTATTTCTTCCAGGTTGCTCAAGGAACCTAAGGGGTGATACTCAGTAAGAAGAGTGTTGTCCTCCTCACAATAGCCAAGCAATGTGACAATGTGTTTGCTCTGTAGAGATTTCAGCATCTGTAGTCCATGGAGAAAATCATCTTTCATCTTCAGACTGGTGAGGTGTGAGAGAGCAACTTTGCGTTCTTTCCATTCTGACAGAAACACCTGAAACAAAGACCATCAAACCTAAACTTTCATTGGAAGTGAGCAAAGAAAGAGTTAACTATTTTCCAAGGGGCAAGTGAGATGCAGTCCTTGCAATCCCAGAGCCATGCTTAGTCTAGCTCTAAAGACTCATAAATATGCACAACATTCATCAGGGTGAGTGCCAACTGGGCACAGGCAAGCACAGTGGCACACACCTGCAGCCCCCGCAGAGACTAGGACTGGGAGTACAAAGCCAGCCTGGGCTACATAGCAAGTTCAAGGGCAGCCTGGTGAGCAAGGCCCTGTTTCAAAAAGCAAAAAATCCAAAAGAAAAACAAAATTTTCAGGGTAGAAAGGACTGATTCTCATGTGGATGCTGAGAATGAACTGGAAGCTTAGGGGAGCTGGTCTCAGAGGATGATGGGGACTTGCAGCATAAATGTGGATTGTGGGGGCATGCAGGCCCAGGAGGGGAGACTGCTTCCAACTTATACAGCACAAAAGATGGAGTGGAGAAAGACTGGGAAATGAGGTGAAAGGCCTCGCCCATCGCATATAACACTGTGACTTGTTCTCATTAACTTTAAATACCAGCAAAATGAATCACACACAGGATTGTTTCTATGTGAGGAAAACTTTACATTTTCTAGGTTCTGTGACACTTCAGCTATAAGAACAGGACCAGAAATACTATATAAACACTGGGCCTGTCCATATGGTACACAGTCAGTAGGAGAGTAACTGCACATTTTGCCTTGGATTTCTTTTGCTGTTTTTTTTGTTTTGTTTTGTTTTTGTTTTTGTTTTTTTGGTAGCAGGGATCGAACTCGGGTCCTTGTGCTTGCAAGGCAAGCAACGGAACCACTGAGCTAAATCCCTGGCCCTTGCCTTGGATTTCTTTCTCTCTCTTTTTTTTCTTTTTTTCACAGTACCTGGGACTGAACCCAGGGCCTTTACATTGAGCTATATCACCAGCCCATTTTTTTTATTTTGAGATAGGATCTTACTACATTGCTAAATTGCCCAGGCTGAGCTTGAATTTGCCACCTTCCTGCCTCAACTTCCCTGCTTTCTGGGATTACAAGTGTGTCCAGCACCCCCAGCTGAATTTCTACTTTTTTATTAGCTAAAACAGGTTTGCAGGGAGTACTGTAATTAAGAAAAGAACTTGTGATTGTTTGCTTAAAGAAAACAGGTTCTAAAGTCAGAAATCCCTGGTTCTGCTATGTCTTTGTTGTCACCCTTTCTCCTTCCTTCCCTTCCATCTTCCTTCTTTCTGCCCTGCTGTGCCCTGCCTTTTCATCTCTCACCCAGGGCTTCATGCATGGTAGGCAGGTCCTCTCCCACTGAGCTACATCCCTACTTCCTAAGCCATTTTGGAAAGCAATTTTTTGGCGTTAATCAAAAGAATTTAACATTTAATCCAAGGCAATAGCCTGAAAAAGATGTAAAGCTCTAGGAATAAAACCCTGGCATTATTTAAGCATAAACTAGAACCTAAAAAGGCAAAGGATAGTTAAATTTTGGCAGGATTATCAATGGTATGTTATTTGATCACAATAACACATATATATTTATAGTTATATTAGATATAAAGTAATGTTACAAATGACCAAGAATTTATATATTGCTCTAACTGCGTGAAACAAGACAAAATTAAATTATATACAAATGAAAGGGAAATATGCTAATGTTTTAGTTGCCTTTCTATGGTGAGAATTTGGGTTATTTTTCTCCTTTATACTTTTCGGTATTTTCCAACTCTTTCAAAATAAATGAATTATTTTTACAATTTAATTTTTTTAACTCATAATTAGTGTGTAAAGTCTAAGAATATAGCTCAATGGTAGAGTGCTTGCCTACAATGCATGAGATCCTGGATTTCATTCCCAGTACTGCAAAAAAAATAGGAAGAGAAGAAGGGAGGGAAGGAAAGGAGGAAAGAAGGTAGGAAAGAAGGAAGGGCAGGAAGGGAGGAAGAGAAGAAAAAGAAGAGAAGTAAGAAGGGAAAGGAAAGAGAGGGAGGGAGAAAAGGAAAGGAAGGAAGAAAGGAAGAGAAGGACAGTAACAAAAATCCCTGCCCAGATGAAGTTCACATTCTGCTGCAGGAGGTAGGCAATAAGTAAAATAAACAGAAAAAGTATGCTGGAAGGTGAAATGTTTTTTAGGGTAAAATGGGGTTTTCAGTTTTAAGTAGAGCTGGGTGATCTCTGAGCAAGAACCTGAAGGAGGTAAGGAGTGAGCTATGTGCTGTATAGGGAAGAAAGCAGCAAGGGCCAGTGGCCCTGGAGGGAAGCACTCTCACAGGTGCCAGGGCAGAGTGGGCGGTCAAGGGGAGGGGCATGGAGACCAGATGGATTCTGAGCACACCAGAAGGAAACTTGCTGATGGGTCACACAAAGATGAGAGGACAAGAGACAGTCCAGGGTGCCTCCCAGGCTGGTGGCCTGAGGAGCAGGACTGACGGAGTTGCTGCTGAGACATGGGAGAATAGCGAAGGAGCAAGCTCCACAGGAAGCCCTAGGTCGAATTAGGTTTGAGAGGAAAAGAGTCCACGGAGCTCAGGGAAGAGGCCTCTGCTGCAGACAAAGCTGTAGGGCTGGCTGAGGTCACCCAGGGAGCAAGCACAGGTCTAAGGCTGGAAAGAATGAAATGGGTTGGCATTGAAAGAGGCTGAAGAGTGGACCCTGCTCTTTCATTCTGTTAAATATATACAGTAATTTGTGCATCATCATCTTTCTAGGACCTAACCGTTAAAAACAGGGTTTTTAGGCCCAGCATGTTGGCACACACCTGTAATCCCAGCACTCAGGAGGCTGAGGCAGGAGAATCACTGAGAGTTTGGGCCAGCCTGAACTACATAGTGAGGCTCTGTCTCAAAAAAACCCTAAAAATAAATAAATAAATATTTTTAAAAAGTAAAAGCAGGGTTTTTTTTTTTCTTTTTACAGTACTAGGGCTTGAACCCAGGCCCTTTGCACCAAGTGATAGACCCAGCCCTTTTTAAGACAGACTTGCTAAGTCACTATACTGGCTCAGCTCAAACTTGTGATTCTCCTGCCACAGCCTCCCAGATTGCTGTGATTACAGGCATGCACCATCATACTCAGTTTAAAAACAGATCATATAAGACCCTTCTAAACCAAGCATGGTGGTACACACCCATAATCCCAGCACTAGGGAGCTGAGGCAGGAGAATCTCTTCAAGTTCAAGGTCAGCCTGGGCTACGCAGAGTTTAAGGCTAGCCTGAACTACATAGCAAGACCCTGTCTCAAAAAAATAAAAAATAAAAAAAAAAGGAAGGAAAGAAGGGAGGGAGGGAAGAGGAGAGAGAAGGAAAGAGAGAAAGGAAAGGAAAGGAAAGGAAAGGAAAGGAAAGGAAAGGAAAGGAAAGGAAAGGAAAGGAAAGGAAAGGGAGGGAGGGAGGGAGAGAGTCTTCTGACAGGATCCAACCCACATTTTATGAATTTTTAATATACTGCACTATAACTTTAAAGAAAAATCTCAACAGTGATTTGAGATCCCTTACTGTCACCATCTGGGCTGGACACACCCAATACTTGGGAACATGGGCCATGCCAATAGGGCCACACTGCCTTCTGCTCAAAGTGTGAGCAGGATCATGTTCTGGTTGTCCATACCAACAGACCTGAATCTTCTGTGCTCCTGAAGACCTGGTTCTACCATAACTTTTATTCTCACTAGCACTGTTGCCCCAAATCTATTGTTTCAGAAACTGGGCAGCCTCCCTATGGTGAGTGCATTACTGTCCTGGAAATGACTGCAAGAATAAATTTCTGATCTGGGCATGGTGGTGGATGCCTGTAATTCTGGCACTTGAGGGTGAGCCAGGAGGATTGCTGTTCCAAGCCAGCCTGGGCCACATAGTGAGTTCAAGGCCAGCCTGAACTATATAGTGAGACTCTGTCTAAAAAAAAAAACAGAAGAAATTTCTAATTCTTTTAATATAGCCTTAGGTTTAAAAACTTAAAAGGGGTGAATAATCCCCAACTGTTATTCTTAGAGAATAAGACTGAGGACAGAAAAAGCAAGAGCAAGGAGAAAGGAACTTTTACTTTGTACTTTGCCTCCTGTTAGTATTTGAATAGAATGTACTGTGGTTTTTTAAATTTGGTTTGGTTTTGGCATTGCAGTTTGAACATAGGGCCTTTATTCCGAACGACATCCACAGCCCTTTATCAAAAACGATTTTTATTTTGAGACCAGGTGTCACTGAGTTGCCAAATTGTCCAGGCTGGGTTCAAACTTGTGATCCTCCTGCCTCAGCCTCCCAGAACGGTGGAACATCAGGCATGTGCTACCAGGCTGGGCTTGAATGTACTGTTTTAATTTTTTTAAAGAGAATGAAAAGAAAAAGCCATGGATCAGTCTGCCTTTCACAAACCAATCAGTGCAGTTTGGGGACAAAGGCACACGATGCTATAGACAGAGGACACAATGCCCTTGGGCATTCCAGACACCAACCAAAGATACATGTTGTATAAGACAGGAGAGTAGTGTTTGTATACTGATGAATCCATCTGAGATTCACAAATACTTTATGTGACAAGGTTCAACTAAAGAGTTTTTGTGTTCTAGCCCTAAAACATATCCTGGGTACAATCAGGTCCTAGGCTGGATGCTGAGGACGTACTTTCTACACCCTCACAGGAGAGACAAAAACAAAGCAGTAAGAACTCGTGTCTAGATCAGTGCACCAAGGACAGGGGCATCCTCTTAGTAGAATGAACTGCAGGCAAAGAAAGGCCCTGCAAAGGCACTGAGGTAAGAAAGGGCTTGCTTTGACCAAGGAACACCACCACCAAAAAAAAAGACCAGGGAGCTCCAGGACTGGTGGTGTGTTCCTGTAATTCCAGCAATGGGAGGCTGAAACAGGAGGATCAAGAATTCAGTGCCAGGGCAGGGGATTTAGTCTAGTGGCACTGCGCTTGCCTTGCAAGCACAAGATCCTGAGTTTGATCCTCAGTACCCCCCCCCCAAAAAAAAAAGAATTTAGGGCCAGACTCGGTTACATAGGAAGTTCAAGGCCAGTGTGGACTATACAGTAGGACCTTGTCCCAAAAAACTAAAGGAAGACTAGAACCAGCATAACTGCAGTTGATAGGTCCTCAGATGAATGTAGAGAGGTAGAAAGGGCCTTAGAATAGCTGGGATTACAATTGTGTGCCACCACATTCAACTAGTCACATTTTGCTTTAATAAAGAAAACTACATTACTTGGTTTGAACTACATTACTTGGGTTTATTATCCACATTATTAAATGCCATATTTGGCTGAGTACAACTTGTGGTTCCCTAAAATTACATGTATCCTCAAACAACAATGAAGCACTACCATCAAAGTCATTCAAAAACATGTAAGAAGCAGTTTTGACAGAGAACTCCCAAGAGTGTACTGAGCAATCCCAACACGTGTGCGAGAGAGCAGCAGCTCCAGACCCCTCTTCAGCGGAGAATGGGAAGGGCAAGCTGTGCATCTTCTTTCCACATCCCAGTACTTCCAAGTATATTTATACTCCCCTCCCAGAGCTCAACCTGACTTCGAGATTGTATGTCCAACTGTCTGCCCCAGCTATACCCAGCATCTCAATGGAATTCATGTGTCCCTCAGACAGAGGGTCTCCTCCTTCCTATCATCCCCATCTCAGGTAATGATGCTAGTCTTCCTGGAGCCCAGGCCAAGAAGCCCTACAGTCATCTCTTTCTCTCATCCCCTGCATCCAGTCTGTCACGAAATTCTTTGGGGAATACCTTTAAAATATGGCCAGAACCCATCAGTTTCTCACTCCCACTCTTGCTGCCGCCCTACAAAGGCCCAACCAAACTTTCACCCTTGCTTTTCTCAACCCCTTTTTCACTTGTAATCCTCTCTGCTAAAATTGTTTCTGTGATTCCCAAAGGGTTGCAAGGCCTAGCATAAGCTGGATCCCCATCTGATCTTTCTCAGAACTTATATGATTGGTCTTTTCCTCCTCCTGCTCTCTAATCACCCTGCCTTCCTTCTAGGTCCCTGAACACCCGGGCCTACATTCTCCTAGGGCCTCTGCTTAAACTCATCTTTCTTACTGGAGCTTTCTTACTCCTGAAGCCCACGTTCTCATCATGGTCTCAGGTCATTCTGGCCATATTCCTCCCCTAACCATGGGCAATGACAAGGCCATTATTCTTGCCTTGCTTTATCTTTATAATGCATGACATTAATATATCATTTTGTATTTTTGTTTCATATTTTCTTTTCTGACTCCCTAACTAAAAGAACACAGGGTCTTCATTTCTCTCATTGAACAAAGTATACTTCTCCTTCAAGATCTCTTCTGTCCACATATAAGAAAACCAGATTTAGCATCACCTCCTTTATTTTTTTGGTACCGGGGATGGAACTCAGGACCTTGCACTTGCCAGGCAGGGGAGGCACCATTGAGCTACATCCCCACCCCATAGCATCATCTCCTAAAATAAAAACTAGCAATTTATCAAGCTGCAACTCCATGGGCATATTTCTCATTCTCTCACTGCCTTTTGCCAGTCAATCTGTCAACCTCATAAAGAACTTGCCTTTGTTTAACAATCTAAGCTTAACTGGCTTCCAGAGATGCGATTGGACCAGGAGGCCTCCGTTTCCCTAGAAATGAAGCCACACAAGGTGGAGTGCATATTGGCCAAAATGAGAAAATGTTCTGGGAGCTTCTGAGAACTGAGTTCATCCTGTGGTGTCTCTTTTCAAATTAAAAAAATAAATAAATAAAATCAATATAATCCCATTATATTTTTAAGAGCAAGGAAAAAACCCTAATTTCTATCAATTTTGCATTTTTATACATAAATATGTAATCTTGCAGTTGAAAATAATACAATTGTATATCTTGCCTTTTTCGCTTATCCTAAGATTTTCTTTCTATTGCTTCATGGGGTTCCTAAGTATACTTACTGGCTGTAGAACAACCCATCCAGAGGCTGGATCATAATTTAACTATTTTAACTTATTGCTCTACAGTATTCCTTTATGCATTTAGCTTTTTTCCTTCCTTTGGGTCATCTTAGTAGGCTAAAGCCCACGATGTGAGATTACTGGGTTCAAGGACAGAAATACAGAACCTTTGTGGCTTTTTCACGAGAGGAGGGTCTCACTATATTGCCCAGGATGGCCTTGAAGCCCTGGGCTCAAGTGATCTTTTTTTCTTTTTTCAGTACCAGGGATCAAACGCAGGACCTTGCACTATCGAGGCAGGTACAGCACCACTGAGCTAAATCCCTGGCCCACCCCTTATGGCTCTTAAGACAGAATGCAAACTTGCTCTCCTATTAAAGTGAACCCCACACTCACTCTCTTCACAGCTCCTTCCCCAGTGCACTTTAACTGCCTCACTTCTGCTCTCAGCTCCTTGCACGACAACCAGGGTGAGCAATTTTTCATCTGTCCCATTTTGAAGTAACCATGGGGACAGGGCTTGGGGTCCTCAGTGGAGTGTCGAAGGGAACTGAAAAACTGGTCGAGGCAGAGGTAAAGGAGAGCGTTCATGAGGGCCATGGTGAGCAGCAGCCCGACTAAGCGGGGAACTTCTCTGTGGGTGAGGCCTTGCCCGCTCTCTGGGTGTCTCCTTTCCATGTTGCTCTTCCGTGTCGGCTCCTACAGGGTGACATGAGACAAGGGGCAGTTACTCTGTCAGTTATTTCCATAAGAAGGTTCTCATGACACTGGTCTGAGGTGGGCACACACTCTGGTTCCTCTCCAGCATGGACCTCTTAAGGTTTGGTATCATTGTGGGGAGCAAGGGAGGCCCTGAATCCTTGGCTTATACCAAGTGCTCAATGTTGGCTGCCCTCATAATCCTTATTCATTATTACAAACTGAAATTGGGATTCACTTAGATTAGATTTGGCTAGAGGGGAGGTGTCTGTATCTATGTCTTTGTCTGACCTACAGTGATTTGCACTAAGTAGACATTCATGAACAGAGAAACATAAAAGCAAATGCTGGGTGTGGTGGCACACACCTGTAATCTCAGTATTCTGGGAAACTGGGGCAGGGGGACTGCAAATTCAGGCTCAGTTGCCCAGCATGGGCAACTCAATGACTCAGTAAGTCCATGTCTCAAAATAAAAAATATAAAATGACTGGGATGTAGCTCAGGGTGAAGGCCCTGGGTTCCATCCCCAGTACCACAAAATAAGTAAATAAATATAAATAATAATAAAAATAAAGTTCAGGTTTTTTTGTTTTTGTTTTTTTGCAGTGCTGGTGGTGGAACCCAGGGCTTCAACTGTGCTGGGGGAGCACTCTACCACACAGCTACACTCCTAGCCCAAACCATGAACATTTTTAATTAGCAAAGACGTCTCTTTAGTGGGTATGAAAGGGGGCTTTGGGATGGAAGAAACTGATGCTGAGAGATGAGAAAGCCTGGCTATAGTGTGGGGTGAGAGTCAACCAATTCATAAATTAGAATTATGATGATGAGATTGGCAAGAGGTTGACTCAGGTAATATGCAATTCTGAGTAGGCAGAGTCCACACTAGAGCCACTACAGGGCCTGTGTGGAGAGTCTGAGGAGGAAAGGACTAGTCCTGGTGAAAGACCCTCAGTAAAGCATGCCTGTCACTCAGGTTCCGAGGCAGAAGCTATTTAGGAAGTACAATGACCACACCGATACAACACAACAAATATGGCCCTCTCTGAGTGTGCCAGCTGAGTGTGAGCACTGGGATGCACTGAGACACTCGTGACAGAACCACCGCATGTGGCTCTTGCCAGAGCCAGGCCTAACTCGAGGCTCACCTTCCAGGAGTATCTTCCCTCTCCTAGCCAGGTCTCCACCTGAACATTGGGGCCAATCAGTGTTCTGATTGGTCCCAGGGACTGGTTTGAAAGCACCCTGTCATGAACACCAAAAGAGGTTTGTTAACTTCTTATAACTATACACAGATAAATCACAATAGTCCAAATGGTTCACCTTTCCCAGGGGGCCTTTTGGAGTCTAGGTGTCCTTGGGGCTCTGATGCCACAGGACAGTCCTTGGGGAGCTGGCAACCATCTTGGAGGCCACATCCACTGCTGGACACTCAGAGGCCCTCACTTCCTCCCCAGTCCATTTGTTCTCAAACTGTTCCCTCTACCTCTATCACTAGTTTGGGCCAAATACACAAGTAAATAAAACAGATTTGGTCCTCTTGGAGCCAAGGGAAAATTCAGCACAGAAGACAGACAATAAGCAAGTAAATAAAAGTTTATTATCATCCTGTGCTGAGAGTTCAAGGATAGAGAACAGCTGGGCAGAAAAATCCTGGGATGAAGCAGCCCAGAAGACCTTTCTGAGGGTGCACCATTCATGTTATGATCACAGGACTGGGAGGAACCAGCCAGGAAAGATGGCTGTTTTATACCTTGTCCCTGAGAAAGTAAAATCTACCATTCACCAAGCTGGATAGTGGACACTAATCATCCCAGCCTCAATTAACAGGGAACAATATTTCTCCTAAGGACTAGCTGCAGCAATGGTCAAACAATCCCCTTCTTCGAATAATGAACTACTTTTGTACTACTGAGAAACTATGATCAAAATGACCAAAAATTCCACTTAAACTTTTCAGTGAGAATGAAAAATCAGCTGGCTTCCTATGCCCACTTGTGACCAGGAGACGGTGAGGACCCGCAGGCACACCCACCAGTTGCCAGCATGGCCATGCAGGTAGAACGGTCCTAGACTGGCTGAGCCCCACTTCTTCAGGCTTGCTACGCCCACTTGCAACCAGGAGACGCTACTTGGATCCACACTACAGAGGCATAGCGGGACACAAAGGCCATTGTCCTGAGCTGCAGAAGTGAACAACAGAGAGAGGGCCTCTCTCAGGCTCCCTGATGAAAAGTGAAGCTCACTGGAAAAGTGAAGAGAATCTCTGCAATAAAGGCACACCAGACCACCATACTTGGTAAGTTGGAGGGATCATCACCTCCCATCGGAACCTGGGCTATCTTCAGGGGAAAGGCAGCTAGAAACTACAATAGAACCTTGCAGAGTTCAACCCTGCAGGACAGGAAGCTCAACTTGGAACCTGCAGCTAGAAATCTGCCTGAATCTCGCCGGTCTGGGACTAGCTTACTGAGACTCACTGACTTATAACTGCACACTGCTGCCCATGTTGTCTATTGTGACAGCAGAGACATACCCTGAAGGAGGCCCTTCATTTCTATCTTTTATTTGTTATTTTCAAAATTACCACTATTTTTTTTGCTCTTATTTTCAATTTTTTCTTCTTTTTCTACTCTTTTAAAATTTTTATTTTTCTCTTTTTTCTTTCTTTTCTCTTTTCTTTCTCTCTCTCTCTGTCTCACTCCCCTGCTGTCCCTCATTGTTCTTCATCTCTCTTTGTGCTCCTGTTCTGGCCTTAATTTGTATTTCTTCTTTATTTCTCTTTTCTTTTCTTTCCTTAGCACGCCTGTGCCCTCTGGGATCACTGCTAGCCTTCCTCTATCTTTCTACCTATGTATCCCTCCCTCCTGAACTCCTTCTAACTTCCCATCCTGAAGGGTAAAGTTGCTATATAGAAGAGTTTATTCACTATAAACATATTTTGGGTTGTCCTCAATTTTGATTTAATTCACAGTTAAAGGTGATAGATTAATAACTACCACAAATTGTCATTTTCTAAGAGGTACTTGATGCTGTAGTGTGGCTGACTGTATCACGTGGGCTAAGGTGTTGTGATTGATCTAATCAGTTGTCCTTCCTGGTATAATGAAAATGAGATAGCCTGAGACCCATTAGAGACTCAAAACCTAAAGACCAGCTATATCTGGAAGACACCTCTGAGAAGCAATCATTCCATAAAGTTTCTAAATACATCAACAAAGATACTTACAATAAGCAACTTCAAAGTATCAACGCAGGAACTAAACCACGGACAGTACCAAAAACAAAAATGAGAAGATATTTAAGCAAGGCACAAACTCAGGCTTCCACCCCACAGAAGGCAAATTCTGGGGGAAATGAGGTGGAAAAGTCTGATAATCAACCACCTGGACACCCTGAACTGATAGCACAGGAAGTAAAACAGATGAGGCTGTAGAAAAATTCAAACCAGAAATAATCTCCCAGATAACTACAGAGATTGTGGGCACAGTGAAATACATGATTAGAGGTTCTAGAACAGAAACAGATAAAAAAAAAAATAGATGAGCTCAGAAACATGCTGGAAACCATAAATGCCGAGGATAAGAAAGAAATGGAAACCATGATCGCCCAACACAAGAAAGAAATGGAATCCATGAAACAGATTCAAACAGATATTCAGGAGATTAAAAACTCCACTGAAAGGATTCACAGCAGATTAAGAGAATCTGAAGA